CTCTAGGACTGACCGGTTGGATCGCCTTGGAGTCCAAGGAACTCAATGCAGGAGTCTTCTCCAGTACCAGAGTTCAAAGGCCTCCAATCTTTGGCGCTCGGCCTTTCTTATGGTCCAGCCTTCACAACCGTCCATTGCAACTGGGAAAACCACAGCCTTGACTAGATGGACTTTTGTTGGCAGGGTGATGTTTCTGCTTTCTAGTAGGCTGTCTAGATTTGCCATCGCTTTCCTCCCCAGGAGCAAGCGTCTTTTAATTTCATGGCTGCAGTCCCCATCTGCGGTGATACAATAAATAGAAATGTCAACTAGCAAAGAAGAAATAGAAAAGATAAGCCTGCCTCGGAGTTTTGTTTTCTGTGGATATGTTACTTGGAACTCTGACAGCCACGTTAATCCCATAATGAGCCTCATTCCAACTATCTGGTCCCTTCTCAGTTTATAGAATTTGATCACTTGATGCAAAGATTGCAGAAGTTCGTCCTTGAAATGTTTATAGAAAGAGACTAGTAAACTAGCAAAGCTTTCCTAATTTTGACCTTTTTTATAGCTTTACCAAAGGGTTAGTGGCACAGTGGCTCAGTAGCTAAGACACTGAGCTTGTTGATCAGAAAGGTCAGCAGTTTGGCGGTTCGAAACCATAACGGAGTGAGCTCCTGTTACTTATCTCAGTTTCTGCCAACCTAGCAGTTCAAAAGCATGTAAAAATGCAAGTAGAAAAATAGGGACCACTTTGGTGGGAAGGGAACAGCGTTCCGTGCGCCTTCAGTGTTGAGTCATGCCAGCCACATGACCATGGAGATGTCTTCGGACAGCACTGGCTATTTGGCTTTGAAAAGGAGGTGAGTACCGCCCCCTAGAGTCAGGAATGACTAGCACATATGTGCGAGGGGAACCTTTACCATTATAGCTTTACCAACGTATTCAGAGAGATCTGTTCATTAAGCGTTTCTGGTTTTCTGTGATCGTTGGTAAATTTTGCTTCCTTACAGTAAGTATTCATCAGCTTTTTTTGCCAAAGTGATTGTTATATAATTTAGAGTAACATTGCTGAAATGGTTTTTTTGCATCTTGATCAGAGGTCACGGTATTTCCATCAAGTGGTTTTAACATCTTTAAAGTCAGCGAATTTTACCTTCATTTCTCTTACTGACATCAACGACAACTGCTCTTTTGAGAATTTAATATGTAGTGAAATGATCTTTTTGGAGAGTTTCTCTACCACTTTATAAAAACCCCAGTTAAGGCCACACCTGGAATACTGCAACCAGTTTTGGTCACCATACTACAAAAAAGATGTTGAGACCTTGGAAAAAGCGCAGAGAAGAGCAACTAAAATGATCAAAGGCCTGGAGACTAAAACATACAAAAAACGGCTGCAGGGTTTGGGTCCGACCAATCTAAAGAAAAGAAGAATTAGGGGTGACATGATAGCAGTATTCTAGTGTTTGAGGGGCTGCTACAAAGAAGATGGGGTTCAAATTATTCTCCAAAGCACCAAAAGGCAGGACAAGAAACAACTGATAGAAACTGATCAAGGAGAGAAGCAACTTGGAATTAAGGAGAAACTTCCAAACAGTGAGGACAATTAACCAGTGGAACAGCTGGCCACCAGAAATCATGGACACTCCATCATTGGAGGTTTTTAAGAAGAAACTAGATAGCTACTTATCTGACATAGTATAGGTTCTCCTGCTTGTGCAGGGGGCTGGACTAGAAGACCTCCAAGGTCCCTTCTAGATTCGATTCTGTTCTACTCTATCACCTTCAGTATGTCTTCTCTTGTGTGTTTTTGAGTTTGAAGTTCTACTTTGTGAAAAGTCTCCTTGTAAAAGTTGTAGTTGAATCCCAAACCATCCTTACATCTGTACCTTTGNCTACCTGCTCCGCGCCCCGCCCATCACTGGAACTGGCCACGCCCTCCTTCCTTCTCACCCTCCTTCCCCGCAGGCCCCCTCTCGGCACTCTGCACCCCCAAGCAGGATTCCCCCCCCAAAAAAAAAACAGCTGGGTCGGTGGACCCAGCATCCTTGAGCCAGAGGCAACAGTTCCCATCATCCTGGACCTCTGGGGAGGCCTCACTTGCTGAGCTAGGAAGGGGTGTTGTTGGCTGGGGGCCCCTGGCTCAGTAGGGGGACCGGATTTCCCCCCCCCCCCTTGGGGGAGGAGGGGACAGATGAACAGAGTTGGAAGGGACCTTGAAGGTCATCTAGTCCAACCCCCTGCCCAAGCAGGAGACCCTCCACCTGCCCCTACCTGATTGTAACAGATTAACAGAGTTGGAAGGGACCAAAGATAGAATATTATATTTCCCTGGATCAGAAGTGGAGAAACATGTTTTTAGGCAGGAAACAGATTCACTCTTCATAGTCCCCACCTTTGTCAATGGGCCATTAGGGGCCCTGAAATAGTTTACTCTGCATTACAAAGGTAAGATTAGCCATCTACAGAAACTCCCCACATGGCATCTGGGAACTCAACCAAGCTTGGGACTCAAAAAGACACCCAACTTGGAGATCCTATATGTGCCTCTACCTAGGATCGACCCTTGGCATCCTTCTCCCCCCTCTCCCCACCACCATCCCATCCTTTGATAGACTGACTGGATGTCTTCCCTTGGCTGCAACTGGGGCCTCCCAGCCGCAATAAAGCGGCTGGGAGGCCATTTAATTTGAGGAGGCTTTCTCAGCCCTTCCCCATTCTGTCTCTACCCCCCCCCCCAAGCGGGTGAGGTCTGAGCCAGCAAACTGGCACCAAAATTGGCTCGAGGCTGCCACCTGCTGGACTCATAGGCAAAGGGACACCCCTCACCTCCGTGGTAAGGATGTTTGCAAGGCAATCATCGGTCATACCTCCTGGGGTCAGAGGTTACCCGGAAAGGAAACTGTCCCCTTCACCTCTAGCCGTGATGGAGAACCTATGGCCCACCTGCCACAGGTGGCACGCAGAGCCATATCGGTGGGCACGCAAGCTCAGCCAGCTGATATTTGGGCCTTCTGGGCCCACCGGAAGTCAGGAAACAGGCTGTTTTCGGCCTCCCCAGGCTCCTAGAAAGGCTCGGGAGCCTGGGGAGAGCGAAAAACGGGCCTTCCAATCCGACCGGAAGTTGGCAAATGGGCAGTTTCCAGCCTCTGGAGGGCCGTCGGGAGAGCTTTTTCCCCTCCCCAGCCTCCTAGAAAGACCTTGGAGACTGGGAAGAGCAAAAAACAGGCCTTCCGGTCCGACCAGAAGTTGGCAAATGGGCCATTACTGGCCTCCGGGGGGAGAGGGAGGCTGTTTTCGCCCTCCCCAGGCTCCTAGAAAGGGTCTAGAGCCTGGAGGGGGCAGAAAATGGGTCCATCGTGCCAAAAGCGTGGAGAGTGGTGGGGTGGGTGTTGTGTGCACATGCCCGGGGCAGGAGAGTGCGTAGAATTATGGATGTGGGCACGCACGCGCACGACAACCCCCCCCCCTGTGTTTAGCACGCAATGGGAAACATAGTCTTCTCATCGAGGGGGGCCATGTGGGGAGAAGCTGTTTCAGACCTCTGGTGTGGGCAGACGCTCCAGCCTGAACTCCCACAGGGGAAGAGACCTCGCGACCACCTCTGTGTGTGTGTTTGTGTGTGTGTGTGTGTGTAGGTTCGGTAAGCTCCCTCCAAAGAGACTCTGCAAAACTCACAGTGCCTGAAGAGGGGCCAGTTGTATCAGGAGAGTAGAAACTGGTGTGGAAACCAACACGAGCGAGAAAAAAATAAATAAATCCCATTTCTCTTGCGGTCTTTTTTATTTACTTCCCGCATGTGTATGATCAGAGGTGGGTTCCTACCGGTTCGGCCCGGTTCGGATGAGTAGGTAGTAACTCGGCCTGCCACACCCCGCATACCAGTTCTATTGACGTCGGTGCCATCTTGATTTTCGGTTTTGCACAGGCGCAGAACAATCTTCATTGCAAAAATATAATTTTTTTGTTTTCCTTTTCTAACGTTGCTAGAAACAAATTTGTGCGCCGAACCGGCAGTAATGCCAGCAGCAACCCATCCCTGTGTATCATCAACCGCGACTGCATCCTCCTGAAACACAAGGCCACTGAAAGGCAAGGGTGAAGGACCGTCTGCCAGTTCCCAGGGGTGGAGGGGGCGGGAGAGGATGTGATGCTGGAACTAAGCACACAAAGGCACAACTGCCTCCCAAAGTGGCAGCTTCTACCCCCACCCCCCACATGGGGGCCCTGGGTCCATCTGACCTGCAAAATCTCTCGGGGAGGCAACTCTCTGGCACCTTCCATTAGAAGGTCTGGAGCCGCATGTGGCTCTTTCATCCCTCTACTGTGGCTCCCTGTCGCCGGTTGGCTCCACAATTGGTAAGACTTTTGTTTAGGAGAGGTAGAGGAAAAAGGACGCTGTGCTAGGAGGAGACTCTATGGTGGGGGGAACCGGACTTCCAGTCAGCTCCAGAATTGAACAGGGGGCTTCCGGTTAGGACCTTTGTGGCTCTTTGAGTTTAAGGTTGCCGACCCAGCCCATTTTGTCCTCTCTGCTGTCCCAGGAAGGCAGACCAGAGTGGGAATTGCTGAAGGGGCAGTGGTGCCACTGTGCCCGAGAGGGAACCCACGAACCCATTTGACACCAACGCTGGAGAGCCCAGAAGGAGCTGTGTCCGTGGGCTGCCTGGTCCGCAGTCTCTAGGCCCTTCTTTTTCAGGATTTGGCCTCTGCTGCCACAGATCTGGAGGGGCGCTTTTGGCGCTGACTTTGAGGAGGACCGGATGTTGATGCAGAGGGACTCTCATCCTGAAACGGAAAGCGATGGAAAATACATGGAAGGGGCAGCTTCTCTCCAACAGCACCCGGACTCACCGCACAGGGAGTCCTCTTGCTTACGTCTGTCAGTCAGGACCTCCGGACTTTGAGCACCGGGGGGGGGGAGCAAAACCACCCCCTCTTGCTCAGCTGGTGAAGACAGGCCTGAGCTCCATTTAAAGGGAACTTCCCAGAGGTCAGCAGAGATGCAGATGAGAGGGAGGGCTCCTGTCTGTGGTCTGGCCTCCTCCTCTTCCTCCTTCCCCTCCTCCTTCCCCTCCTCCTCTCCCTCTCTCTTCTCCTCTTCCCCTCCTCTGCTTCCTTCCCCTCCTCTCCCTCTCCCTCTTCCCCCTTCCCTCCTCTTCTCCTCCTCCTCCTTTCTTCTCCTCTCCCTCTTCCTCCTCCCCTCCTCTTTCTGTCTCCTCCTCTTCCTCTTCCCTCCTTCTCCCCCCCTCTTCCCCTTACTCCTCCTCCTTTCCTCTTCCTCCTTCCCTCCTCCCCTTCCTCCTCCTCCTCTCACCTGCTTTCTGCACACCTCCAGCATGGTTCCGCTCCGGGTCAGGCACCAGATCTCCCCCACCAGCGAGATGAGGATATTCACGATGTCCCTCCACTGGCCCACCGTCATCAGCAAGACCAGAAGGCCACCCATCCGGACAAAGGCAGTCTGAAAAGCCATCTGCTGGTTGGGGTTGTGGTGCTGCTCCTCTGTTGGCCAAGCGGACGGAAGGAAGCGTCTCAGCTGGAGGAGCCGGACGCCACCTTCTATCTGCTGCTCAGGAAGGATCCCCGACACTCCAGGGAGGGGAAGGGCAAGCGAGACAGGGGTCTGCAGGCACCCTCCCTGCCAGGGCCGGCGTTCGCAAAACTCAGACACCACTCACCCTGCATGTAGATGACCAGAAGTGTGTAGCAGATGGTCAGCGGCGTCCAGAACCGGATGGCCTCGGAGGTCGAGAGGAAGTCCCGGTTGATCAGAGCCACCGCCGCCAAGTCGGCCACCCCAAAGGTCACCCGGAGAGCATTGCAGAGCAGCCGGGGGATGCCGTGCCACGTGGCAAGGAGGAAGAGGCACCCTCCACAGTAGCGTTCCTTGCAGTGCAGCTCGTACATCGTGGAGACGTGCCAGGCCAGGCGCCAGGTGTAGTGGGTCAGCAGCGCGGCCAGCCCGACAGCCAGGAGGAGGTTCCAGGTGCGATGGGGGGCGCCTTCCTGCAGGTAGCCGAGGCTGCAGGAGACGCCGCAGCCCAGCGAGTATTGGCAGAGCAGATAGAGCTGGCTGCTGAGGGCCCCCTTGGGAACAAGAAGCAGGTGGCCTCTTTGTTATCCGGACGCCTACTTAGCCATCCGCCTGCCAAGAACTCTGGGCAGCAGACACAATAAAATAGCAATAGCACTTAGACTTATATACCGCTTTACAGCGCTTTACAGCCCTCTCTAAGCGGTTTACAGAGTCAGCCTCTTGCCCCCCAATCATCTGGATCCTCATTTGACCCACCTCGGAAGGACGGAAGGCTGAGTCAACCTTGAGCTTGGTGAGATTTGAATTGTCAAATTGCAGGCAGTCGGCAGTCAGCAGAAGTAGCCTGCAGTACTGCACTCTAACCACTGCACCACCATGGCCCTTCCTTNCCAGGCGGTCTCCCAAGGGGTAAGGTCATCCTTGGGATTGGGGCCACGGGGAGAGGTGAGGTCCCTGGGGCTCCTGGGCTGCCCGGTGACCGGACGGGAGCAGGGCCCTCTCGCCCTCAGAAGTTCCAAAGGTGGTTTGGCCCTCCTTCCCACCCAGGTCATCCCACAGGGCATGGCCCCTGCACCCTGCGTCCCCTGCTGCCTGGTGGTGACGGAGCAGAAACTGTTCACCTGCCACAAGGACTGCCAGACCAGCTTCTTCCGCTCACTGGCCACTGCTGAGCTGGCGGACGTGGCTTCTGTCTCCACCGAGCCCGGTCAGGAATATTGCCTCCTGGTAAGTCTTCAAGAGGAGGAGGAGGAAACATATTCCTTCTGCTCTTGGGGTGTTCTGACCAAGGCTTCCCAAGAGCATGAAGTGAACTCCTGGTCCCCCCCCCCCCAAAAAAAAACCTTTTTATTAATTTCCTGTGAATTGTGCTCATTCACACCCAGCAAAGTCTTTCAAGGAAGGATTTACAGTCACAAACCTTATCGCATTTGGAGAGCTGCCAAGCTGATATATGCAGAACTTGGCCAGGAATCTCGTAGAGTCGGGAACCAATTAAGCAAACTAATGATTTCCTGCAAACTCCACTCTCCTTTTGCTCCTCTTTTATTTCCTCTGGGAGGGGCCATTCACTCCTCCAGGATTGGCCCATCTTCCTCCCCAACCTCCTCACTGTGAATCTGCTGACACTGGCGGGCCACAACACTTGGGAATTTGCCAGACCTGGGGCTCATCTGCTGCAGCTTGTTAAGTGAAGCTCTTGGCCCTCCTGCATCAGGAAGCCCCAGGGTCTTACGTACCCTTCCTATCCTTACCCCTTTAGGAGTTTGCCCAGGAGCAGAAGCAGTACGTGCCCCCGTGGGCCCTCTATTTCAGCTGCCCTGCCGAACTGGAGCGGTTCCTGCTGGCGCTGGACGCTGTGTGGAAGAGCACCTACCAGGTTGGCTGGTCATGCGGCGGGCGGCCTTGGCTCTGTACACGGGGGACCCCCAGGAGGCTGGTGACCGGCCCCATCTTCCCCCTCACGGCTCCTTTTGCCCCCGCTGTGTCTGCAGGCGGACCTTCTGCACAAGCCCCTCGAGGACAGCTCCATCCGGAAGAAATGCGAGGATGCGCTGAGCCTGATCCACAGCACGTGGCAGCGCAGCGACAGCCTATGTCGTGGCCAGGCTTCCCGGGACCCCTGATGTTAGCCTCCCGGGAGGCGAAGAATGGCCTGATCCCACCAGGCGGACGCACGGACGGGCGCACGAGGGAGGGGAGGACCTGAGGCAGGAGGGGTGCGGGCCTTGCTTGCTTTGGACACTCCACGAGCCCAGCTCCAAGCCCAGGAGGGGGGTCTGTTTGCTACCGCTGCTATTGACTCCGTCTTGCACACCGGTTGGGCTGACGGGTTACACAACGCGTTTGTGCCAAGGGTGGGCTGTCCGCGGCACATCTCAGTAGGGATTCTGGGTAGAAGAGGGAGCAGGAAGCAAGATTTTTGGGGCCACTCCAGGGTAGAACGGGGTCCAGGAGATGGGAGGGATAGCCGTGAAGAATGGTGAGCTTAGGGTGCCAGTGGGGAGGGGCTTCTGCACAAGGTGGCGCCATTAGGCTGGCAGCTGTCCGTCTTTTAGATGCCAGAGCCCAGGCTGCATCATCCTCCCCCCGCATGTGTTACTTTTGTCCAAGGCTGGCAGC